CCCCAATCTACTCCAATTTTTTATCGAATTTCACGAAAAAAAAGCGAAATTATAAAAAAATATCAATCCTTTTCTGTGAAATACGAGCAAGCCGAGTTTGAAAATCCGAGGCGTCAAAAAGAATAGTTCAAGTTAATGATGACGACAAAAAGATCGGAATGAAAGTTGCGGAGTCGAAAGCGAAGTGATAAAACGGTTCAAGTCAATTTTGACTATAGGCCAGTTTTCAATGAATATCTCGGAATCTAAGGGAAATAGCTAAATTTTTGTTATATCCTTTTTTGCAGAGCCAATTGAGAGCTACAACAAATGTAATTACGAAAATTTCGCTATCTCCCTTAGATTCGGAGATATTCCTGAAAAACTCAACTGGGAGATAAGTCGACTTAAATCGTTTTACCACTTTGTAACTGAATTGTTATCATAACTGCCTTCTAATTACCTAGCTGACAGGCCACTCACTGTATCGCTGATGTGGTCATTGTTCCCTGCTGTTAGTGGCCTTTGACAAAACAAACGTCATTAATGCGACCTGTGGAGATATTCACCACGTCGATTTTGTTTAATTAATATTTTCTCTATGGAAAAAGTCCAAGATGCTCAACAAGCAGTCTCACGGACATACCTGAGTCCAGCTTCTCAGAATGGATCTGTTTGACTGTCTTAGCGGCTATCAGTGATGACATATGACTGTGTTAGTTATGAAAAACCGTCAGAACGTTTATTTAGCATTTTCGGTTCGAATTTCGTGTCGGACCAAATGGTAACGTGTGCCCTTACGTCAGAGATTATTGAGGCCAATGGATCGCGAATCGACGGATGAACCATGCGAGGCGACGCCCGATGCCTAAACGAGTGGATGGAATGGGCAGGAAGAGGCTACAGGCGGAAACTGCAGAGCGAAGGACGAGGCAAAGGGTTGGAAAGCATAAAAAAAGAGAGTGAGACCCAGAGATATTCAGTTGAACCGTATCGGGTTGGGCACAGCATTGGTGCTGGCCTGAAATAGCCTCAACTGGACAGCCACGACGACTGGCTGGACCTACCTACTTTTATATCGCCCGGGAAATAATGGGATTCCCATCATGAAGTGGATTTCCCCGGGGAGCGGTGGACATGGATGCACGCGTCAAGAGATCCTAACGCCGTATTCCATCGGTCTCCCGTTCTGTTTTATTTTCCGCCTCACTTTTTTTATTTTTCACTAGCCAATGGGCTCTTCCTCTCACACTACAAATTCAAACGCTCGTCTCGCATTCACCCTGGCCATTTCCATGTCCAAATGCTACGTGTGATATTCAAAAATTTTCATGTTAATTATTCGAGAACATTTGGAATTTGTAAGAATTTGAAGGTGGAAGGATCTTTAGTTAATTCGGATTTTGAAGGTCTTGAATGATCTGGAGTCGCGGAAATTGTTACGACTCACAAGAAAAGATTGACGATTTATTCTATTTCGCTTTGGGGATGATTCGGGGGATGTTGGGACATCCTACGGACTTGGGGGGAAGCCCATGGAGAAAATACTGCGAGGGGATTCCCACGGGAAAAACTGTATTACCGACGATCGAGAAGTTATTCGATATGAAATCTTCGAACATTCAGCCTTCCGTTATCATGAGACGAAAATAAAGGTTGACATATTAACAATGTACAGGAGAGTAGGATATTCGAAAAATGCAAATTTCATCAAATTTTATTGACTTATTGATTAATCTATTTAGGCACTCCCTGCATAATTTCAGAAACCCCAGGTTCAGGACAACAACAAAAATGAATTTTAAAGTTGCTACGTATACATGAGGTTAAAGGGAGCATCGATCACTCGTACATTTTCCCTACATTATCGACTAGTCGGCAATGTGGAAAAAATACTGAAATTATCGATGACCCATTTAACCTCATATACAAGCAACAACTTTGAAATTCATTTTTGTTGTTGTCCTGAACCTGAGGTTTCCGAAATTTTGCAAGGGGTGCCTAAGTGGATTTAACAATATGTGAAAAAAGTTTCATAAAANACAACTTTGAAATTCATTTTTGTTGTTGTCTTGAACCTGAGGTTTCCGAAATTTTGCAAGGGGTGCCTAAGTGGATTTAACAATATGTGAAAAAAGTTTCATAAAATTGGCTGCATTTTTCGAATATCCTCCTTGTTTTTCGATACACCCAGAGATGGCAGGGGTCTTACGGAATTTGTGGTGGCTCAGCCTTCAACAGTTCCCGCTGTTACCGGCGGAGCCTGCCGCCAGCGCCAACGGCGCAAGCAATCACTCGTTCTTAGATTTGAGTAACTGAGTTACCCAATCTCAATTATTCTATTCTACTCCTTCTCGTTTAACCACGAGAGCTGCGGCATTATCATCTTTTGTACTTTGAATACTCTAAATAATTATCCCTATATGTTTGACTGAATAAATATAGTTTGTTTCATAACTAAACAGTCTTCTAAATTTATGTGAGACCTATCAAATCTCCATAAATTTAGCTTGATTGACTGAACCCGTACTTAAGGGGCAGTGGAACTTACCATCGGAGTAGAAATTTTCTTCCAAGTTTTTTCGTTCTCAGAGGACTATTTAGCAAAACCCAAATTCTTACATTATAGATACCAAGATTATTGATGATGTAAGAATTTGAGTTTTCATAAATACTCGTTTGACGACGAATAAACTTGGAATCCAATTTTTACGCCGATGGTAAGTTCCATTGCCTCTTAAGGGGTAACAAAATGCCCTTAATTTTCCACATTTTTGAGCAAATTTCCTGCTAACAGTTATCGATATTTTAAAAAATCGAAGATGAATGCTTTGGGTTCCGAAAAATATTAATAATTTTAAACAAGAAATTTGTTTAAAAATTTCTAGAAAACGATGACGTTCTGTTACCCCTTAGACGTTGAAGAAAACTGCTGAACATTCAATTTCAAATAGATTTTTTCAATTTGACGCTTCACTTTTATTGTGAAACCATTATTTCTATCAATGTTGATCATATATGAGAATTTATAGGCAATATATATGCGATATTGCCATGCAATTTTTTAAAATTGTCAATTACTCAGTTTAAAAGTTCGAATCATGATTTTCTTATTACTATCGTAGCCCTACCTGAAAAACCTATCAGCTGAAATTAAATTTTTCTATCGGAGGGGGGTTCGAACCTACCACCTACGGAGTGGCAATCTAACGCTATCCCTGGCCGAAAAATCATCTTTAGAGTCATTTGCAAAAAACATTCACATCTTCCCTGACATCTCTGCTATGAAGTGCTCCTCAACAACGGATACCAGACGACAATATGCCCCCAATTCACCCTTCAATGCCCCAAATTGATGCAAAAACGTGACAATTATAAATTCCCTCAATTTTTATTATTCACTTTTTAATCATTTATTTTTTATTCTTGTTTACAATAATCACAGACGTTCGCCAAACGTAGTAGGCATGAAAAAATTAATGTTACATAATAAATCGCTATGAGGCCCCCAGCTGAATACCACACAGGGGGCGGGAAGGGGAAATAATTAAAAAGTTGGAGCGAATGAATTAACAAATCAATCGTAAGATAGCCTTTATACTTTCAATTACGAAATAATCAGTGGAAATTTGGAAAGTATAGAATAATAAATCTATCGGATCTAAACCAGGTAATGTCGGCTTTTAATATTCAATTGCCCTCGACTAGCGATAAACGTCGATCAACGAGGCTCTAAATAATCATTTCACTCTAATAGATTAATAGTAATAATCATCGTCATTCAGATGAGAGATTAAATCACGTAATTAGACCCCATTGCTTCAACCATCAGTTGATAATAAAATAATAAATTTTTCACGAGTCTCAATTGATTTGATCTGTCATGAGAATAACTAATAAAAACGAGTACACGGAGTTACACTCCGGCCAATCCACCAATTGGAAATACATTCTTCAACTTTGTTTATACTAAACTCTCTCACACATGATTCGATGCTTGTTTTTTTAATCAACTTTGTTATTACGTTAAAAGCCATTGTTAAATTATATCCCCAATAACTTTCCATAGTTTTTTCTTTCATTTAGACCGTTTTTAATAATAATATAATAATATAACATAATTTTAACATATTGCATATATAAATACAACACGCATTCACCATTACTATTTACAATCTTTTCAATAACGATTACCTACAGGACAGGTATATTCTCTCTCACGTAATCACCCAATTAATTCATTCCATTGAAGAATTTTCAAGAGTCACTTGAGTTACACTTTTGTTCCTCTCAATAATTTTTTTCCATTCAAGATTGATGAAGAGACAAAGAAAAAAGAAATACATGTATGAAAGTCAGTCTCTCGTCGCAAGTTTGACTTCTACATTAATTCAAAAAAAAATGTATGAAATGAAAGAACAATAATGATAATAATATTAATAATAATATCATAATAATAATAGTAATTAAAAACAGCGGTGAAAATGTTGATTTGCGTCATCATAAAATCTTGAAAAATAATTATCAATCAATTAGCGACTGGCTACGTCCAAGCATATGCCGTATTTCACGCAATACATTAATTGAATCTTTAATTTTCGGTGCCAGTCACCGAAATTAAAAATCGATACCATTCAAATGTACGACGTATTTGTAACCACAGGCTTTTGGGTCACGCGGACCTGCGCGGATCTTGGAAGCTAATGTGCTACCGGCCAACAGATATTAACAGGCATCAACACGTGTCGTGTATTGCCCTGATTAATTCATCATTTTTTAAATCTCCGCATCTCTCCCTAGTAGCAAAAGCATCAATGCCTATTATCTCCATTTATAGATTTTTTTTCGTTAAAAAGGATTGAGCGGCGGTGCGTGGCACGGCGTTACATTGAAAAAGGCACAAAGTTATTAAAATAAAAATCACAAATCAGAAAACGAACGTGGGGGCCGACGCGCCACAGCACGTGTTCTCAAAATAATTTATCTATGTGGGTGAAATGTTCTTTCACATTGGCGTCGATCAATCGACAAATCAATTATTCAATCAATCTTATCACGGGATGTTAAATAATTCATAAATAAAAATGTGTGTTCGTATAGTCAGTAATTTCAAATTGGGAAGAATTTCGGGGAGTTTGGAAAGAAGAAGAGAGTAGTGAAAGTGGAAAAAGGAAGAAGTGATAATAATTTAATCCATTCTCAGGTTTTTTTTACAAACGATTGGCATTGTGGCAGTTAACGTTCAATTATGGCATACGCTATATCACCCGACGAATATGTCGGAGCCCGCGACACAGAACCATCATCTTGTCTAATGGGGGAGTGAGTACTTTTATCTACAAATAAATCTACGTAATTTCTGCGAAGAATTACTTTCGTCATTTTTTTTTGTGATACGAATTGCAATCATTAGCTATTTATCACCTTTTTCGCCTCTTCCCTCGTGAATCGATGACTATTCATCTACTATGTACTGTACAGTGATCATTTTAATTGGCTTTAGGCACAGTGAAGGAGCCAAACGAAGCTGAGAAGCACCAGAGAAGTGATTTTCGCGGCAGCACCACTTGTCTTGTTCGTTTTATCGTCTGTATTGATTTTCGTCAGTATCGGTGTATCACCGTGCTTAATGGGGCCCATTCCCGAGCCGGAAGCTTCGCTCTCATCGTCAACGTCCTCGTCATCACTATTTACAACGATTCCTCTGTTCCAATTTGGATTAGCACCACTGCCGGACCCGTCTAGCGCCTCGTCAGACAGCAGGACTCCACTGTCGGGAGCTGATGCCAACTGCAATTGCACCACCTGTAAGAAATTATGAGAAATTATTCACTTCTCCCGTAGTTGATATTTTATTAAATTTTCATTTCTCCCGTTAGTTGATATTTTATTAAACTAGGGAAATGGCGCGCATAAAATGCAAGTCTCATGTTAAGCTAAGTCATGATCATAGATGGCTAATATTCATTCATTATTCAGATCGGTTTTAAAGTAGCTCTACCCTTACGGCAAATTCAAAAATTATTGAAATCTGCAAAAAAATTGCAGAAAACTCGATTAAATTCGGAATTCAATTTTTTTCGCAATTTTATTATCGTTTCGGTTTTTCAAAGAAGAGATGTTTAAAAATCGGGATTCAACCCAGTGTCTCATGTGAAAATCAACATTTCCATTGTAATCGAAGATTAAAATCTCAATTTTTTTTTCATTAGATGTGAAAAAATCAAGAATTTTTTTGACACATAAAAAATAATTCACCGTTTTGCAAACAAGTTTTATTATTTATTTATAAGAGGGAAATGTTTGAAAAAATATCAATATTTTGCGAAATTTAATTTAGATAATACTGACTGGGTATGACAAATTTAAAAACTGAAAATATTCAAAAGTACAGCGTAGCCCGGCCGAATGGTAGAGCTACTTCAAGAGTGATTAATTTTTTCAAATAACAAAAGTTCTAATAGAATGTGGAGAAGGAATTGGAAGGTTATATGATATTATTTCAACATTTTAAAATTGAATTCCACTTTATTCGATTCGTTTGATTTTCTTCATTATTATTTTCATTGTTTAGGTCATTGGAGTTGTCATTTAACTGTAAAATTTAGTTTCAGAAAAAATTATAGGAGAATTCGATGTCACGTGACTTGTTAAAAAAGAAAAAAAATGAGATGAAAAGAACAAATGATCTTTTTTTTTAAACTATAATTTTTCCTTAATATTTTATTTTTAAAAAATATTAGAGTATTAAAAAAATTTTTTTTTAAATGATAAAAGATGAATAATTTTTTTTATATTCAATTTATTTATAATTAAATAATATATATATTTTTTTAATATTTTTATATTCATATATAAGATATTCAAGTTTAGAATGGAAATAATGCTAAGTCAAGCATGGCGGAATAGATTTTGCTGGCAAAAAACATTACATTCTTTTTTTTTAACAGGACCACTCACTTGATTTATATGCCGCAGTTGATCTATCAGAACACTTGTATTTGAATTTCCGTAACTGGGCGTTCCTGCAGTCATAGCCATTGCAAATTCGGGATTGTATCTTTGGGCAGTTAAGCTTGAGTCAACCACAGTCTTTGTGTACCTGTGAAAATATTGAATATTTAGTGACGTCTCGAAAAACCAAAATGCAAAAATTTATTATAAATAAGAATTTGAAACAAAACAAAAAAAATGTAAATTAAACAAAACAATAAAAACAATAGTTGAGGATATTCAAATAACTGTTACAGTTTCATGAAGACTACATTATATATTTGGAGATTATTTATCATCTAATTCGCCAATTAAATTACGCGCGAAAAATTTTGATCCAATTATGCATGATTCGAATTATTGAATGTGCTTTTCCCAAAAATTCTTCTTTTTCAATTTTTTATAAACGAAAAATAGAAATCAGTTGAACTTTTAGAATCCTCACTTTTTGGCATTAAAAATATTTTTATCAATCTGCAGATTTTTCCAAATTAATCCCACGATAAAACCAATAGCTTTATTCAAAAACTTGTTAAAATGTAGAAATGAGTTTCACATCCATGAAATGGAACTGAAATGGTAAAAAATTTGACATGTTCTTAAATATCATAAAAACGGGAGAAAAAATATCAAAATAATAATATAAAATAAAATGATCATGTCAAGAATATCAAATCAATTGCTTTATTCCCTCGGCGATATCTTCATTTCTTACTGCTAAACGCCATTATCGCCAACTTTAAACAGATCAATTTTTCTGTTTTTTCATCATGTCTTGACACGACTGTAAATACAATTAAATACTAAGATGTGTTGAGCGCTGAAGCACAAGTTACCATCAAACTGCAAGGTAAAAAATCTTTCCCCACAGGTATAACAGAGAGACATATGACTCGGAAATTATAAAAGAACTATTTTGCACTATTTTACACGTACGCTTGTGAAATTCCATACAGGATGAGAGAGATAAGGATGCGAGAAATGTGCAAAAAATTGAAGACATCCGCTGTCCGGATAAGTCGACAATCGGTGGATAATTATTAACGGTGTCGAGAAAGCGATTCAATCGCCTTTGGAATTCAAGACTGCAGCAATCTGTGACCCTGACCAATAATTCTTACATCAGTTGCTAAGGCAGTGATGATGATGATGGTCGGAACAGAGACAGGAGGCCAAGGACACGATGATGAGCCGAAAGAAAACGCTAGAATAAATATCCCCATTCTATCGATTTTGGAAAACGAGATAGAAGGCGCGCCCCGCGCGCCTGGCAATTCGATAGATTTTATATGATTCATCATTTTAATCCTTGAGTGGTCGCGCCTCTTCACCGAACGAGTCTGGTCGCGCGCTGAGCGCTGCGCAGTCCGTGTATTTTCGAGCGCGACGTTGCCAGAACGATTCTCCATCTGCCAGCTGGGAACAGCACGTGGGCTGACAACGTCGTGCGGCAAATTTCTTGCGCCGTTTTTCTCTGACCGCACTTCATTGAAAAATTAATAACAAAAAATTTGGTGGCCGCAGAACAATAAAACCGGATTTAATGCCACGACGACAGATTATTTGTGCAACTCCTGAATTTGGCTTTCGTGATTATCGATATTTTCGCAGTTATCATGAAACAAATGAAAAGGACTGCGCTTTGCTCACAGCGCGACCACTCGAGGGTTAATATTTAAGTTGACTGGAATCAATATGTTCTTCCAAGTATACGAATTTCTATAGGAGAGGGTGGGGTAAAACGGACAAATTAGACTTTTTTTAAATTATCCATAACTCAGAAACAAATTGATCAATTGAGCTCAGTTTAGGCTCGTCACAAAGGGAAAGAATTCTTCTTTGCAATGAAAGAAAAAAATTTGAAACAAAAAAATGATTGAAAAAAAAAAGAAAAAAATATTTTAAAAACTACAAATTATTGAAATAAATAAAAATAAATAAAAAATTGAATTATTGAATTCTATCAACATTTCAACCCCTCATTAACATTTTAAAAAAAGTCGAAAGTTTCCGTTTTACCCCAACCGCCCCTAGTATTACTGAGAAATTCGTCGAAATCCATGAAAACTTCAATTGAGAATTAATACATACTCCGTTGGAAATCACTGACACCAACATCATCATCATGTATGCAATTTCTCTTTCAGACATTTAGGAATAAACGCGTGACATCTTCTTTTTATATAAGAGAACGGTCGGAATGTCTACGTCTCCGACATTTCGCCGAGATTCATTAGCTAATGACAATTTCATTGGACTTGTAAAAATGTCGTCGATTTTGACGTCACCCAAGACATTATCTACATGAGGATTCTAGAGAGAAGCGGGGAGGAGGTCGGATGGTGTAGTCAGTAGGACGCCTAGCCGCCAATGAGTCTGGCATCGAAAGCAAACCGGCGCCGTTGAGTCGGCTGTAACTATAGATACACGAGCATAACCAAGTCTTGTCTCCTCCTCTACTATCATCTTGTCTTTCGCCAAGTATCTCGTTGTCCCTTACCTCTCTCACCACTGACTCGTGACTCTCGACGCATAACTATTGCGTGCGGATAGCAGGCTAACACGACTAAAATCTTTCAACTCGACTATTTTCAACGACACCCACTCTCGCCCATGTCAAGTGGCATTTTATTCATTATTATTTAATCAATTCAGTAGCGAAACGGTACACCCGGCTAAGGAGATTTTGACTGTTGACCAGTTTTCGAAGAATATCTCGGAATCCAAAGAAGCTAGAAAAATTTTTGTCGTGACCTTTTTTGCAGAGCCAATTGAGGGTTATAAAAAAGGTCATGAGCTACCGGGAGTTGCGTCACCTTCCGTCGAATTTGATTCACTTTAACGGCGGATGACCCACCGCTGCCATTTTTTCTAATTAATATTGATTTAGGGGAGGTTGGGGTAAAATGGACACTTTTGACTTTTTTTAAAAATGTTAATGACGGGTTGAAATGTTGATGAAATTCAATAATTCAATTTTTTTTTTATTTATTTCAATAATTTGTAGTTTTTAAAATATTTTTTTCTTTTTTTTTTTCAATAATTTTTTTGTTTTAAATTTTTTTCTTTCATTGCAAAGAACAGTTCTTTCCCTTTGTAATGACCCTAACCTGAGCTCAATTAATGAATTTGTTTCTGAATTATGAGTAATTAAAGCGAAAGTCTAAAGTGTCCATTTTACCCCACTCTCGCCTATTTCAATAGTTTTCAATTGAATTGTGTTGCCAGATATTCTGGTGACAAGTCGCCACATAACATTCATCTGAAAATTTAACACAATTTTCAAACCGAATATTCCACAGATTTTCCAAGTGAAAAAACCCACTCCACATTCAACATTCCCTGGCTGAAGGCCCTCGGGCGATGGCCGCGTTGGCAAGTTAACCCTCACGAGAAAAATATTCAATAAAAATTACGTATCTTTTCCGTAATTCTGGAGCGAAATGTGGTTGTGGGAAATTTTACGGAACTGTCACGTAATTTTTACCTAAAATCACGGAATTTTTTCAGAGCGCTCCGAAATTTTTGACACAAAGTCGACTGAGCGAACTGTGAGTTCCGTAATTTTTACTGAACAGTTCTCTCCGTGCTTGCAAGGAAAAACCGGTGAAATTGGAATTTTTTCAAATCATCGAAATAACTACATTATGATTAAACCCGAGAGTGACTGAGTGACCGTGGTTTAGTGTAAAAACACTGGCCAAACATCCTTAATCAAAAAGTGGCCAAAAGTCAAAATCGACTGGACCCGGTTTACCCCTTGGCGACTGGACTGAAATCTTATCAATAAATTTACTCAATTATGAGTAATGAGTAATTCATCATTTATACTGACTCTCCAATTCGCTGTCCATTCCAGCAATGCCTTTCGGGGTACTCCTCGCATATGGCATCATCAAGTGTACCGTAGAAGGTGCGAGACCTAACGACACTGGCTAAAAAGTTGCCCAGCTGGCTGTGTAGTTGAGTTTGAGTGGCGGCACGATGTGCCTGGGAGTAGTTTGGCTGAGGGACATCCGCGTCCAGACGATGCTCAAAGCTCATTGACAGCAATGACGATGACTTGCCTTCAAATGACGGCACGAGGGGTGCTTCCGATATTTTTCCCACCTGTAGCTCTGAACGTCCACACAATTTTCGAACCTGCAAGATAAAGTCGAGTGTCAATGGCAGCAAAACCTTGACGTAATCGACATACTGGAGGACTGCGGACTGGTGTGGCTATCTCCTATTTTTTTTGTCGTCCAACAAGGTTTTTATTCAGAGAAATAACAGTCAGTATTTACATATCTTAAAAACTAGTATCAAAAAACTTTTGTGAAACGTATTGTTTACAGTATATAAACTGGACCTGTGCGCGCTTATCTATTCGTTGTCAAAATGAAGAAATTGAATTTATTAAACTTCGTATACTCATAGAGGTTTTATAAATATTGATAATGACTTGAAGGGAATTAAGAGAAATTATTTGGAAAACCGAAGAATTCTCATGAATTTTGCAGAGTTTAGAATTTATGTATGAAAATCTGAGAAGTAAGAATTGATCATTTTTGCGTATGATAAATATGAAAAAATTGAAATTTGGGAAGTGAAGAATAATTTGTGAGTTAAAAAAATTTAGAAATACTATTTTTTTTCTCATAATCAACAATTAGGCAATTTAAATATATTTTGGTATAAAGATAAACTTCACACATGAAAAAATGAAAAATATGACGCAAAAAAAATTTTGGCGTTTGAAGAATTTGAAAATAGCGAGGATTTTTTTCAGCGACTACTTCACGTGACTCATTGCCAATCAGAATTAAGGATTAGCGGTCAGACAGTTTCGAAATATTTCGATATAAAAGAACTTCACGTTTCTTTCATCTTTAGTAAATATAATAAAAAAATAATAAATAGGAAGGACTTTTGGTCCATTATTGACTAGAGTTTATTTACATTTTGGGTTTGTTTTGATGCAATATTGCATGTAGTCTTTGAAATGCAATTATGCCTGCAATAAGCATAATTTTTTGTGGCTGAAAAAAATGTTCCATTTTCGCTGGATGTAGAAAAAGTCACTTCCACATGGTTATTTCCTATCGGTGGTAAGGCACACGTACCCCCGCGGACTCACACACATGTGTATAAGCACTCGTGAGATCTCAATCAAGTTCCCTCCTCTCGCCAAACTTGCCACTTTAAAAATATTCTCTTTAACCAAGACAAAGTTGTTTTTTTTAATCTCCTAATATACGCGAAAAAAAATCACGTATCCTAATAAAAGAATAAACGTGTCACTTTCCAACAGCTCCCGGGATTTATACTGAATTTATCATTATATATATATATATATATATATATATATATATATATATATATATATATATACATACACGTCACGCTGAGAATATAGAGACTGCGAAACAAATCGCTACGCAGTCCCACGCGTTTTAGTAATTTATTGTAGGCTGATGGGAGAGAGGGCTAGCAGCAAAGGGAGAAAGGAGTTGAATAAAAAAAGTAGTTGGCAAATATTTGGCTTCGGGGGACGTTCAGGCACTTCTTGAAGGCCAGGACGCGCCGTTGCAAATGGGGGAAACGAGTGGGATGAGGTTGAAGCCTTGAATGGTTTCGGGTCAGACACGATATCCAAATTTTCCGAGGCTCGATTGAGACCGCTTGCAACATTGTGTGGGCGTCAAGTCGGCTGGACTTTATTCCTCCTCTTTTTCTCATACACTGACAAAAAAAATATCTAATATCTGAAAGATATTTTCAGGTAATTTTTTACAAGCAATTTTTCTTCAATTGTTTAATTCTCCCAGACGTCTCAACTCACGGGAACCGAGCAAGGTCTCATGCTTTAAAATATTCTTGTACTCAAATGGATTCGAAACGCGTAGAAGAGTCGTCAATCTTCCAGTATTTATTGTTTTCATGAATTTTTTGTTATGCATTTCCAATATTTTGACGTGGACACGTCTGTGTTTTTATTATGGGAGCGTTTAGGGAAAAAGTCCTTAGGGTTCCTTATCGACGGTGGCGCCATCCCTCGGAATTCGAGAACATCTGAGATTTAAACCATTGAAAATAATTTACTTCTCTCAAGTAAATTTGGTCTACGCATTAGCAAGTTTTTCTCTCAGTTTCATCATCTCATGGTGATGTAAACGAAAAAATGACAAATGATTTTCATGTTTTATCCCAATGTAACAACTAACAAGTCCTCAATTATTAAATTTACCATGAAATTGGACGCCTCTGTCTGGTCCTCCTTTTGTCTACCCACTCTCTCACTCTATCCCCTCTCAATCAGGTGAGTCACAGTCGGCAATCCAAAACTGTATGATTCATCGGATCTACCCGGCCGTCTCAAACCCCTTAAAAATTACCAGGAAAAATAGAAGGGATTCTATTTTATTTTCGGTGACTGGGCGATGGAAACGAAGAGCCATTTTTAAAAAAGCTAATATTTGCATTATTAATTGACTTCTCATTGGAAGAAAAAAAAAAGCTGGGGACAGTGAGCATGACAGCGCGCCGTGTGACAGTGAGCATGTCACTTAGTGATGTCTAATTTTTTTTTCGCCGTCAATAAATTGATGGCGAGTTTCCGAATGGTCTGAAATATTACAAAAGTTTATAGATTCACAATACTAACGAGCAGCAAAAATTTCGGATGGTTACTGCCACCTCCATGGGTGCTATCAAAATTCCAATGTTTCGAATACTTCGTATGAGCGGGTGCACATATTTTCTGTCAAAATTTCAAGTTGATATCTCGATTTTTGCACAAGCTAGAGTGTTTACAAAGTTTTTTTATGGAAAAAAGGAAAAACAGGAATATCTCGGAAACGTTGTATGAACGGGTATATATGTTTTGATTGATTTAGACAGAAGGCATCGAAACGAATGTTTTGAAAAAAGAAAAAGTGAAATCGGTTGCGAAGTTTTGAAGATATTCCATGTAAAAGATTTTCAGAAAAAATCGAGTATCTCCGAAACTACTGATGCGATTGGACCCATCTTCAATGCGGAACATTGTTATCATGAGAGGAAGATTCTGTCCAAATTTCAAGTTGATATCTCAATTTTTGCACAAGCTAGAGTGTTTACAAAGTTTTTTTATGAAAAAACGGAAAAACAGGAATATCTCGGAAACGTTGTATGAACGGGTATATATGTTTTGATAGATTTAGATAGAAGGCATCGAAACGAATATTTAGAAAACAAAAAAATCGGAATCGGTCCACTAGTTTTGAAGATATTCCCGGAAAACGATTTAAAAACAAATGGCTTTTTCTCCAAAACTATTGGCTCGATCGAGTCGAAATTTTGCACAGAGTTAGTCCCCATTAAGACCTGTAATCTCACAAAATTTCAGATTTTTGGAATTACTTTAGCCACTTAATTACTCAATTTTCCAAAAATTGACCACCGGACGGTCGCCAAACTTCCTATTTTCTCGATTCAGACCATTCTACATCATTTCCAATCAAAATTAGAGAACATGAAAATCGAAGGATCGCAATGTTTCACAAAACAAATAAAAAAAGCTCTGCAATTACAAAGACATTTTCATTCGCATGTGAAAAGTGTTGTAACGGGTTGAAGGAACTCAGCGATACTGGCGTATAAATAGACGTGCATTATCGGCCATTGATGCAGGCAGGCATTGTGCCCCAATTATGATCATTTCACAGTGGTATTTGAACGAAACAAAAACCCCGAAAAAAATAAAAGAAAACAATGCAAATGAACTCAATGAGAAAAAAAGGAGACCCAGACAGAATTTGCACAGTCTCTCAGGCTCTGATTGATTTCAATGGCTCTCATGAAGGCAGTCGCCAACGGAAGTGTGATGAAAAGAGTTGACGACTAAACGGCCAACTCGAGTTTGTTAGCCAATATATGTATGTATACGGGGGTAAGACGAGTTCAGGTCGAGTTTGCGGCTGAGTCAAAAGCGCCGTTCCAAGCCACTTCGAAAACGCACCGGCAAAGGATGCAAGGAATGCGATGGGCGCGTCTTGCCACCCCTCTTTTTTTTTATTTTTTTTTGTCATTCCCTGCTCTTCGTCTTCTTCTTCCTCCTCCTTCGTCCCCCCTCCCCACCTTGCATATTCCATCCGCCTTATTGGTATCGTTCTTTCCAGTCATTCCCAGTGGTTGTAATATGAAAAAAAGGATACAATAAAGGAAAAAACCTTTATCTTTTGGAATGCACGGTTCAACTTGTCTCTGCATTCCACTGGAAAATATTTATTTCTAAATATTTGTGGCTGAGGGAATAATAACCAATCCTCGAAAATCCGAGCAATCCTCTGGACAATAAATAGGGGAACGATATTTCACGAGGATAATGCGCAACAATTCTACACAACTCTCAACTTATTCCTCTTCTTTTTCTACGAGCAGATTGTTGTGACGACAATTCGTGCGTCATGAGGCAGAAAAAAAAATGTCAAGTAGAGGAGGAAGGAGAAATAAAAAGACTACTCGAGAAATGAAAGACAGAAAGTAAGAGAGAGAGAGAGAGAGAGAGAGAGAGAGATGAAAGGGGAAAAAAACGATCGTTACCTGTCCGGGAAACCTGCAGCCGCATAATACAAGTACTAACAGAGAGTCACATGGCAACAGCAATCATTCCACCTTGCTTGCTCCATTCTTCTCTGAGGCTCGAACCCCTCCTCCTCCCCGCCCCGCCGCCCTTTCTCGTTTAGTTTCTTCATTCAGTTATTTTAAAATTCAACTTTGAATATCCCTCTCGTTCACACTCTTTCCATTTATCTTTGTTTCAGTCTCGCCATTGTGTTTTTTCTGGGCAAGGTACAAATGTTGCAGCAATTTATGACGCGTTGGGGTACAGTAATACTGCGGGCCCTCGAGCTATTCACTCCTTGCGCCGCGATCCATTGGGATAGATGATCAATAAATTTAGAAAAAAATCTGGGGGGGGGCTGTATCTTTGGTACAACTGTACAACAGGGATAGGCAATAATATTAGATTTTGGCAATATTAACCCTCGATCGGGCGCGCCATGGCACGAGCGCCGGTCTGTCTCGATTTTTATTTTTTACGCTGAAACGTTGTTGAGAAAAAATCTGAAAAAATTGGAATTCCTACATTCCACCATGTCAAACATTTAAACAATTTT